ACCCCATTGCTGTGCCACAGTTTGTGGAAAAAGCCACCTCAGCATGAGTCCATTTGAGTGTCAAAAAAGCAATTAAAGACCTGGAAAGTCCACTGACCAGAATGAAGTTGATGATAGTTGTGCTCCTCTTTGCCCTAAAAAGCTCACATGTGATGTACAACTCTTTATGCTCAGTAGCTCGAGGTGGACTTTGGCAAAGTGGATGTGTCCAAAGAGGAGCATCCTGCATGACATGAGGCTCTCGGTGCCATTTTGTTTACAGAAGCTACTGAAGGAACTTGATGTTTCATGACCAGTCTTTTGACACCTTTGCAGGGTTATTATATCAAAAAGGAGTCTAGACTTCCTTGTGGCCCCAGAAGATAATTTGGTTCAGGAATAAAAGGAATAGTCACCTGAAAACAAAATGGGCTGTCTGGAGGAGAAGCATATTCCCACTCCCTGGAGATGTGCAGGCTCAGTCTTGGATACCTCCAGCAGGAGTATCCAGACAGCGCTGAAGCCCTGCAGTAACAGGGAGGGGGTGGAAAGGAGGGAGTGCTTAATGATGGCCCAACCTGCCAACTCTGATCAGTCCGTGCTCCATTTCCTTCCCCTCCACACAGCTGGGGACACATGTTCCTCCCCTGAGACTGCCTCCTGCTCCAGGCTAGGGGACTGACTCTGGCCCCTGGGCACTCAGGGACTAGCATCTGGCCATTTTTGTCAGGTGGGCCCAGCTCTGGCCTTATGCTCTAGCTCAAGTCATTGGGTTGCTTCTACCTTGTTCAGAGAGCCAATGTTTGCACTTTATAGCCCAGTTTTAGTAACCCATTACTGTTTGATACTGTGACTGGTTTCCCTTGGCCTCTTTTGAGAAGTTTGGTAGTAAAGGGAAATGAAAGATGGGGTAAATAGTTCGGGGAGAAGCAAACATTTGATCATCCTCACAGGCTGTGGGGAAGGAGGCTGGGCAGGGAGGACAGAGAGCTGCTAGAGCAGGGGTCAGAGAAGGCCAGAAGCTTGGGAGCTTTGGAAAGGAACAAAATACTTGAACAGAGGTTAGTGTGACATAGATGACACAGATAGCCTATCTTCCTTCAAAGTTGACGTCATTGCCTGATGGTCTCACCTTCCCCTCTATTTTGAAGGAACAATTGGCCACTGCAAGTGAGGAAGGCAAAGGAGAGGTTGTAATCTTGTTTGGAGCAATTGCTGTAGGGAAAGGAAAAGGCCAGCTTGAGAGAATGCAAAAAGATTCCACGCTTCCTAGGACCAGACTCAGGTTGGAAACCAGGAATACTGACCATCCCTGGAGTAAGAAGCCCACAACCAGACTCCAGGTTAGGAACCCCCAGGTAAATGCAGTAGGAGGTCAAGGGCAAGTAAAATGAGTTCCTTAAGGAAAGTGTAGTTGAAGTTAGTGCGACTCTACATTGTGTCCAGAAAGGCACCCAAGAGTGTAGAGGTTAGCGGGGAGTTGAGGTCTGGAGTTGGTCTTCAGCTGAGGGCAGGCAAACTATTGCTCCGGGCATAGAAGGGTAATAGCATGACATCTTAGAGGTGAAGAAATTCCTGGTGACAAGGTCCAAGTGGTGGGCACTCGTTTGGGTTGCTAAAGGGAAGTGGGGATGAAGGTCTTTGAGATGACAAGGTCAATGGACCTGCTACCAGGGTTTGGCTGTCATCAGAGAGGCCAGGATGATGGCAGGGGACCAGAGCCTGGTGCATGGTGGCCCTCAGTGTGAGGTGGCCAATTCAGGGGGTGATGATGAGGAATGTAGAATGGTGACTTGGTAGCTAATCATACTGGGCTTAAGTAGTGGGTAATGTATACCCTGGCCAAGGCTTCAAAGGAGGATGGATTGTTCCATTTGAATTTTGTTAGCACTGGAAGAGAGAGATTTGGGTAGGAAGGGGAAGATATGACACTGAGTCAAAATAAAAGGCACGTTCAAACTCATTCAGACCTTGCTGAGAGAGGCTGACATAGTTGCATCTGAGTGTCCTGGAAGGCTCCACCATGCTCTGAGTATGTTAGTTAACAGCAGCCCAAGAATTACCCCAGCACCCAGTTTACTCCGGGGCCCCAGGAAGTTCAAAATAACTGGGAGAAGGGATCCTGGCACCAATATCAAATTCCTACAGTGCTTCCTCAGTACTCGAATGTAATGGCAAACACTGAGGGCCTTGTACTACAGTATTTCCTAACGCAGAACCAGAGCATGTGCTCCTCTGAGCTCTTTCAGCACCATGTACAAACCTCTATCAGAGGATTTATGAGGATTCTGTTTTAATTTTTCTATCTTCAGGCTTGAGAGGTTCTTGAGGGCAGAAGCTCTAACTTGTTCATTTCTGTACTCTCAGCACCTGGCATAACGCCTGGCATAAAGTAGTTAGTAGTTACTTAATAAATACTTGCTGAATGAACAGTTATGACCTTTAGGATCATAAATTAGAATGCCTCCCTCCCTTTTACAAAGGAGAAGGTGAAAGCTCAGGGATGGAAAGCCACTTGCCCAAGGTCACACAGCTGCTCAGTGGAAGAGTAGGGTAAGTCTCTGGACTCCCAGCCTAGCCCTTGTTAGACAACATCACTTTCCATGTCCTCTCTCTCTTGCTAGACTGCCAACTTGGAGAGGACCAAAGTGTCATAACACTCCTTAGCAAAAAGTGGGAAGGATAGAGTACCCTATAGATTAACATTAGATGACAGAGGCAGAATTCAAAAAGATCTAGACAAGAAGGAAAGGAAGTGTGAGAGTAGGAAGATGAGATTTAACTAAAAACCAAACAAAACCAGGAAATATTTTGCACTTAGGATAAAAAAGATTTCACAAGTAAGAGTGGGGGAAGACCTTGATGAATAGTGGTTCACGTTGAAAATTCACAGGCTCAGAAATCAATGAAGTCATTTGACTGCCAAAAAGTTGTTGTTATAGTGTGGAGCCCAGACCGAGAGAGGTGCTATGGTATAACCTTCGTAGGTGCCACATTTTCAAAAGGAAATTGGTGAGTTGAAGAGTCACTCGGGTAGACAGTGACACTATTTCAAACGTTGTCATATGAAAAAGCAGCCTAGAAGGGAGGCTGGGTTCCCCAGTGTGCTAGGCAAGGCCTTCAGGCTCTAGCCCCTGCCTGGTTCTCCCTTCTACTTGCTCAGCTCCTTTATACCCAAGAGACATGCATTCCAGGCTGTTTCATACCTCCAGATCCACACATACTGTTCTATTCGGAACATTCTGTTCCCTATGTTACCCACCCCAGCAAGACAAGAAGGAAGGGGAGTGTGAAAGCAGCTCACATTGGGTGAGCCCCTATGTCATTTTCAAAGTCCTCAAGCTTTACTTTCTTTCTTGTAAAACTGCCCTAACCAAAATCCCCAGGCAGATTAACCCTCCCTTTTCTGTATACTTTAATGCTCCCCTCTATATAGTGTCATATTTGTATGTGTCACCCTGCATTGTGTTTTCCTGTCTCCCTATGAGACTGTGAGCGTCTTGAAGGTAGAGGTCATGTGCCCCCAACTTGACATGGGTGTTCATATGATTGAAACAAATGAACCAGAACTTCATGGGGTTTTTTAAATATTTGAAGGACTGAGCTGTAGATACCAAAAAGGTTTTAACATGTGCACCTTCAGAGAGTCAAGAACAAGAATGAATGGGGTGTGTGATCAGGAGATGGACTTGGGATCACTGGGAGAAAACACTTTAGTATCAGTCAGAATACTTAGATTCTATCAACAGAAGTCTAATTTGAAGTAGCTTCAGCAAAGGAAGAACTTTTTTTGGCACACAGATTCCTAAGAAAGGTTGAACTGCCAACCTGCAGGAAGGCCAAGGACAAAGCTGGACCTCAGGAACACTTGTGACAAAGCACCTGAAAGCCATCAGGACTCTGTGCCCCACGCCTCTGCTGCTCTCTTTGTCGGCTTCCTTTTTTCTCACTATTGACTGACCCCCTCCACATGGCAGGAAACATGGCTGCTGGAAGCTTGGGCCTCACAGCTCCAGACTTTCACCACAGAGGGACTGGTTTTCTTTCCCAATTCTGGTTTAAAAATGTGTTGGAAGCTGGGCTCGGTGGCTCAGCCTGTAATCCCGCGCCTTTGGGAGGCTGAGGTGAGTGGATTGCCTGAGCCCGCAGGTTCGAGA